TATACATATAATATTTGCTTCATTCCCTTTCTTCTCCTGTTACTTATCATAAAACAGATGATGTGTTAACTTTGCATCCTCTTGGAAAGGGGTCAGTGTGTTTGCAGTTGTATGCAAGACAGTCGTACCAGGTTAGGTGGAAGTCTGACTTGTTGTCTTAATTACACATGGTTTAAGGACATGTACGTTATTGTTAAGTGCCATTGAGTCAGTTTCAACCCATAGTGACCCTGTATAGGGTTTCCAAGAAGTGACTGGTGGGTTTGAACTGCTGACCTTGTGGTTAGCAGTCCAGTGCCTACCTTCAGTGCCACAACCGGACTCCAACTGACAGAGGGTGGACTATGATGGCTTATTGTGTCCACATGGTGAGGCTACAGTACCCAATCGATAGGTAAAATGCCAGTCTAGTCGGCCTCAAGTAAAGCAGATTACCTTCTATAATGTGGGTGAGCCTCAAGCAATCAGCTAAAGGCCTTTAAAAAAAAAAGGTAGTTTCCCTAGGATGTGTTCTACCTTCAGAGTATAAATGGAAAATTTTTCAGAATATTCTTACGCTTCCCGTTTGCCTGACTGGTGAATTGTGGGATACAGACCTGCAGGAGTGTCCAGATTGTTGCCTGACCGATGAACTGTGGGATTGTCTCCAGGCTGTTTGTTGTATGACCGATGGAACTTGAACAAGTCAGTGTGTCCCTGGCTAGATCTGCATCTAACGGGTTCTGTTGCTCTAGAGAGCCCTGACTAGGTCATTCTGGTATGTCCTGTTCACTCCACATCCCCCATCACATAACCCATAATAAACACGTGCAGAACGTGCTGAGTAAAGGGAGGATGAAACTTGGCAGAGAGGAGAGGCGTAGAGATGGAAGACAGAGTGGATAAATGACTAGATGGATGCAAGTCTGAGTGAAGGGTATGGAAAGATACACAGAAAGGATGAGCAGATGGACAGGTGACTAAAAGGGTGAATACCACTGGAATGCTCTCTGTAACGTTGACGGTTCAAACCCACCAGCCACTCTGGAAATCTGATAGTCGCTAGGGGTTAGAACAGACTCGATGACACTTAATAAAAAGGTGAAGGGATGAATGAGTAGATGGGTGACTGGAAACAAGAGTGGAAGTGGGTAGATGAGTAGATGGACAAACAGGTAGAGGGATGTCTGAAAGCAAACTTGGGTGATAATTAAAGGGTAAATAGGTGTATGAAAGGGGGGTGGTGGTGATGTGCCGTGGAGTCGGTTCTGACTCATACTGAACCCATACAGGGTTTCCGAGGCTATAAATCTTTACGGAAGCAGAATGCCTCATCTTTCTCCTGTGGAACAGCTGGTAGTTTCGGACTGCTGACCTTGAGGTTTGCAGCCCAATTCATAACCACTACGCTACCAGAGCTCCTGTATGAAAGGGTAGCTGGATGGAAAAATGGACAGCTACACAGAGGGATTGACAGATGGACAGTGAAGTGCAGGGATGGGTGAAGGAAGGGGTGTCTATGAAGTTTGCATGGATGAATGACAGTGAATACCTACCTGTATGAAAGGTTGAAGGGAATGAATGGGTGGATGGATGGAAAGAAACTGGCAGCTAAGATTTCCCCAGGGGAACTTGTGTGGCAGACCCTAGACTCCCCAGCTCAAATCAAACAATTTATTCCTGAAGCAGTGATGGAAACGGTAGGCAGGGTCCCCCACTGAGGGTCCAGCCCTGCCCCTGCCCATGAGTCAGGAGTCTCCGTACACACCCCAGCAAATGACTGGAGACAAGGGGGAGATTCACATTATCTGGGGCAGATCCATGGGCTCCCTGAAGCTAACTGGGACTTCCTGCCCATGGAAGCAGCAGGACCTCACATTGAAGGGCTCTCTCCAGAAAGAAGACCTGTCACCAGCAGCAGGCCATGAGTCACATTTCTTCTCTTGTCCATGTCAAACTGCAGGTTCTGGGAAGTTCTGGAACGGTCTGAAAGGCAAAAAGAATGGCTGGCTATGTCTTAGTTATTCAGAAATAACCCTGGAGTCCCTAGAGGGTGCCAGGCCCTTTGTAGGCATTGAGGACACCACCATGAAAAAGAGGGGCAAGAAGCCCTCTCGGAGTTTCAGATTTGAAGTGGAAACCCAGTAGATGCTTCTTGGCTGGGCCAGGGGGTGGGTGGGTGGGTACATGGTGAGAGGATGGGTGGGCGGGGTGGAGAGGCACTTCCCTGGGGTGGTGAGCTGGGATGACCTTGGTGTAGGACAGTGTACCAGGGATGAGCACTCCTGTCAGCAGGCTCGGCCTATGTGAAGCTGCCCAGGTGGGATCAGGCTTCCTCTAGTCTGGAATCCAAGGGGAGGGTGGGGTGGCCAGTGCAGAGAAGCGGGGAGAGGGAGCAAGCTCTGGGGTAGCTGGTGGAGTGGATGGTAGAGGGGCGGTTTTGTTGGTGCACAGTGGATGGGACTAGAGTGGGCAGTGGGCTGCAGAGGAGGGTGAGGGTGAGGCCGGGTCACTCCAAGGCCAAAGCAGGGAGCTGCTCTGGTTACTCAAGAGACCACCAGGCTCCTTGTATGGGGTCTCCTTAACTACCCTGTGCCCTAACCAAACTGGCCACTGTGTCAGTGGGCCCGGGAGGCTGAACATGTTGAGAGTTTCCATTTCCATTGTACTGGGCGGGCTGGAGGGTAATGTAAGGTAGGTGTCATGGGATGAACTGCATCCCCCGTAAAGAGACGTGTAAGTCCTACAGCTGATAGCTGTGAACTTGTTTGGAAAGAGGGGTGTTTCCTTTAGTGATGATGATGAGCTCAAACTGGAATAGGATGGGTCCTAACCCTTACCCCTTCTCAATGGTGTCTTATACAGGTGAGTGTAAGGACAGACACACACGGAGTAGACACATGTGAGGAGCTGGCCACAAGCTAAGGAACACGCGGGATTAAAGAAGCTGAATGAGCCCAGAAAGGTTCATTCTAAGAGGTGGCAGAGAGTGAGCACAGTCCGGCCGATGGACGCCCTGAGTTCGGACTTCCAGCCTCTGGAATGGTGAGAACATGCATCCTACCCCTGACCACCACCCTCTCATGAGTTGTTTCGGCTACAGCTGGCCTCAATTACTTGGTGATGGTGTAGAACATCTGGCTTGAACAACTTAAGTGGACAGAAATGTCTGCAGACAGTGTCTCTCTCTCTCTTTTTTAACAGGCATTATCTTGAGGCTGCTTTCAAGGTCTTGAAGCTAGTCAGGCCTAAAGCTTCCCTCTTGGAATTTTTAGCAACAAGAATCAATCAATTCTGTTTTGATTTCAAGCCAATCTGAGTCAGGTTTTGGCTACTTGCAGTTACTGGGGTTTAGAAAGTTCAGGAGCTCTGAGAACAAACCCGAGTCTGATGGTGACGCTGGTCCCAGCTGGAAACACTCAGGAGGATCTGTATGTGCACCAGGATTCATAGCAGCACTATTCATAAGTGTAAACCGTGGAGTTAACCCACTGGGCATCGGCAGATGAATGGGTCAACCAAATAGGGTCTATCCATGTAATGAATGGAATACTAACTACTTTCCTAGAAAAAGAAATGAAGTTCTGATGCATTCCACAATAAGGCTGAATCTTGAAAACATTACAGTGAGTGAAATAAATCACTCAGAAAAGGACAGGTAGTCTAGGATCTCACTGATACTAAAATCTGAGGAGCCAACATTGTGAAGAACACTTCATTGTGCTCATAAGGAACCTGTACACAGACCAAGAGGCAACTGTTCAAACAGATAAACGGGCTACTGATTGGTTTAAATTCAGGAAAGGTGTGTGCCAGGGTTGTATCCTTTCACCATACTTACTCAATCTGTCTGCTGAGCAAATCATTCAAGAAGTTGGCTATGTGAAGAAGAATGAGGCATCAGGATTGGAGGAAGGCTCATTAACAACCTAAGATATGCAAATGACACAACTTTGCTTGCTGGAAGTGAAGAGGAATTGAAACACTTACTGATGAAGACCAAAGATGGATTACATCTTTACCAACATAAAGAAAACACCAATTCTCACAACTGGACTAAGAAGCAACATAATAAACAGTGGAAAGGCTGAAGCTGTCAAAGATTTCATTTTACTTGGATCCATAAACCAATGCCCATGGAAGCAGCAGTCAGGAAATTAAATGACATACTGCACTAAGCAATGCTGTAAAAGATCACTTTAAAGTGTTAAAAAGCCAAAGAGAACACTGTGAGGACTAAGTTGGGTCTGATCTAAACCATGGGATTTTCAATCACCTCCTGTGCATGCAAAAGCTGGAAATTAAGTAGGGAAGACAGAAGAATTATTGGTGTTTTTGAATTATGGTGTTGGAAAAGAATATGAAATCCACCATGGGCTGCAGGAACAATGGACAAATCTGTCTTCCAGCTCTTTAGAAGTGAGGTTGGTGAGATTTCATCTCACCGAATTTGGACATGTCATCAGGAGGGGCCAATTCCTAGAGAAGGACATCATGCGTGGTAAAGCAGAAGGCCAACAACAAAAAAAGAGGAATACCCTTAACAAGATGGACAGACACAGTAGCTGCAACAATGGCCTCAGATTGTGAGGCTGGCGCAGAACTGAACAATGCTTCGCTCAGTTGTGCAGAGGATCGCGATGAGTTGGAACTAACTTACTGGCAGCTAACAACTGCAACAGCAGAGTTGGCAAACGGAGAGAGATCAGTTGAAGAGAGGTTGCAAAGGTTGGGAGGGACGGGAAAAAGAGGGAAATCATTGTTTAGGAAGTGTGGAGCTTGTGTTTACGTGGATGGGAAATTCGGCAATGGGTTTTGGTGATGGCTGTACACCATGATCGATACAACTGTCCACATGAAAAATGTTGAAATGGTAAAGGCTATATCACCTATATTTTTACAAGAAAACAAGCGGCATCTGTGAAGCTGACTTTTGGGGTGACTGAAGAGGAAGTGTTCAGAGTTGGGGAAGTGGAGAGGGAGACAGTGGGACTCACAGTCTCTTCTGACCTGGACACCACCTATGGTACCATGTGCAGGTCCACAGGGTCGTAGGCTGACACCCTCAGGTCTTGTAACAGAGCTTCCAGATTGTTCCTCAGCATGGCATAGGGTGGCTTCTCGTCGTACTTGAGGGTCATCACTGCCTTCAGGTACTCCTTCAGGGTCTCTGTGGTCAATACACCCCACACACACACACCATGAGAAAGATCTGAGCAATGTCCCCAGCCTGGAACCTGGGAGGGAGAAATTCTCAGAGGACACCAAATATTGATAACATTCTTCAGGCACCGACGTAGACAATCTCTAAGATCAATTATTCTTAAATGAAGAAAAGGCAAGTTGGAGACCAATATGGTTTCATTAAAAAGAAAAAAAAAAAGTGAGGGGGCTTCAAAAAGTTTGTGGAGAAACTCTTTGTATGTAAGAGGAAGAAAAACAGGAATAGGCAGGCGTTCAAGAAATGGAATGTGTGGCTAGTTGCCTCTATGAACAACTGCCACTTGTGCCATGAGACCAGAGGAACTGGATGGTGCCTGGCTGCCATGACTGAACATTTTGATAAAAGATTCCATACCCGTCCCCTCGGTACCTGAGGACTTGTTCCACCCGCAGCACTTTTCCACCAGGGATTCTGGGTTGTTCAAGAACCTGGTGAGAATAGAGGTGGATGTGAATGGTCTTTTAAGGGAGGACAGTCTACTTAAGTGGAGCTCCATGGCTCCATATGATAAGCACTGGACTGCAAACCACAAGGTCTGAGTTAAGCCTGCCAGCTGCTCCACAGGAGAAAGATGAGGTTTCAGTTCCTGCAAAGATTCAAAGCCTCATAATCCCTACATGGGGTCACTACTGTGAGTCAGAACTGACTTGGCGGCACTTAACAACAATCTTCTTAAACAGAATGATTAAACACACACACACATACACACGTGCTGCAGAGGTGAACCTTAGATAAAACCTAGGCGGATTCACATTGAAATTTTATTTTGAAGAGTCTCAACTCTATCTTTGTAGGATAATCACATGGTCAGCAGTTCAAACCCACCAGCTGCTCCAAAGAAGAAACATGAGGTTTTCTGTTTCTGTAAAGATTTACAGTCTCAGAAACCCTCCATAGGGTGGGTCACTCTGAGTAGGTAGGAATTGATTCAGTGGCAGTGAATTTGGTTTTTTAATTAATTTTCATTTTTGTATCTATACAGACATACTCGTGTACATGGAGCCCTGGTGTGGCCTTGTAGGGTGTGCACTGGACAGTTAACCACCAGGTCGGTGATTCAAACCCACCAGCCGTCCCTGGGAAACCCTATACAGGGTCACTGTGAGTTGGAACCTATTGAATTGCACTTAACAACAACAACTTGTGTACACACACACACTTACACACACGGGGCCTTGGCGAATTCTCCTGTCACTTGTCTTACTTTATTTATTTATTTCATCAACAACATCAATGGACAGAGAATGAATAAACACTTGTTGAGTGAGCGGGAAAAGGCCATTCACACCAGGAAAATGTCCCAGAGGGAAAAGGAAGTTACGTGGGGAAGGTAGAGGGGGAGACGATATAAAAACATTGCCACCCAGTGGTCATGGTCCTGCTACTGCCTTTAGTGCGTCTGGAGGGAAAATAACATTACCTCAACACTCTCCATAAGGTCAGCAGTTCGAAACTACCAGCTGCTCCGCGGGAGAAAGATGAGGCTTTCTACTCCCGTAAGGATTTACACCCTCGGAAACCCTGTACAGGGTCGCTATGGGTCGGAACCGACTCGAAGGCACTTAACAACAACACTCTCCAAGGAGGCCTGGTGGCACAACCATGAAGCTCTCAGATGCCAGCCAAAAGGTTGGCAGGAGAAAGACGTGACAGACGTTTTTCTCGGAAACCCTACGGGGCAGTTCTACTCTATCCTACAGGGCTGCTTTGGTCCAGAATCGGCCGTGCTGTCATGGGCTCAGCCTGTCTGAGGGGGGCCTGCATGTCCATGCTGAGGAGGGGGGCTCTGGAGTTACTGGTACTCACACTGCCATCAGTGATACTAGACCAACTGTGAGGACTTGTTTTATTTATCCATTATTTCCTCTTACTGGTGTGGCGCTGTGGGACACGGCACTGGACCGCAAGTTGGTTTGAACCACAAGGTTGGCCCTTCAAATCCACCAGCCACTCCTCGGAAACCCTAAACAGGGCTGCTATGAGTCAGAGGCACTTAACCACACCTGGCTCTGACCTTTTGGGAGCCGATTACCCACTGGAACTACCAACATTTCAGTTAGTAGTTGAGTATGTTTCTGAAAACATCCAGAGAACACACCCCAATTCAACAACGTCTGCATGTACATTTCAGTGACATGCATGGCCTTCTTCAACTTGGGCACCCGCATTCTCGCCCTCCTGTTCCTCCCCATTCACACAAACTCACTGTTCCCTGATGTTCCTATCGAACCTTTCGAGCTGCCGCGGTTACTTGGATCCCACAGAAATAGTTCTTAAAAGAGCAGAAGGCTCAAGGCAGACATGGTTTAAAGAAGACTTCAGGGCTGTTTCTGCTTTAAGGTTAAAATATTCTCTCAGGGAATCTACTTCATTTTTTATTGTTTCCTTACGCCTCCCCCCAACGCCCCCCACCCCCATCCCTTCCAAAGTCAGCTTCCTGTAGACAGGAAGTTTGGCTGTTGTACTGACTCTGAGTCCTAGGACCCAGAACACACCCAGGCACCAGAGGAGGTTGTGGACCAAGCACTAAGTCTGGCTTTCTGTCTTTGGAAATGTGGGCTGCTGAGTCAGTTTTGACTCCTATCAACTCCTTGTGACAGAGTGGCACTGCCCCCAAGACTTTTCTAGACTGTAGTAGTGATGAGGGCAGATCTGCTGAACTTCTGGGTGGCTTTGAACCCCTGACCTGGTTAGCAGCTGAGTGCTTATCGCTGGCCATCAGGGCTCCTCGGAGAATGTTGGGGACATTATTTTTCTGGCAGACTTACCTGTATCCTCCAGCATCCCAAGGAGGTGAGTGCTGAGAGGATGCATCACAGAGGAGGGCACTTAGACTGAAAGGGTTAAGTGGTTCAGCGCGCACCCCCTTCCCCATCAAGGACCAGGAGGGAAGCTGACTCCAGGCGGCCACCTCAGTCACTGGACCAGGCGGCAGAGCACTGTCTGAGGGCTGCTACCTGCTCCATTGCGCCCCCTTCTGGTTCCGAGCTTCCACCCCACCTGCTGGCCCCAACTCACTGCTCCTTCAGCTTCATGATGCTGTCAGTGTTGGGGAGGCAGTTTGTCCATGGCAGGCACCCGCAGAGCCACTTGAGCAAGCAGTAGCCCAGGGTCTGGAGGTCACTGCGGCGGGAAGGCCCTGCGGAAGGAGGGGAAGCAGCTCTGCTGTCCATGTCCATGTCCTTACATGCTCAACATCAACGCACATGAGCTGTCTCATTCGTCCCTTCATTCTCCATTCACCCTGATGGCGAAATGACACTCAACTGTTAACAAAAAGGTTGGTGGTGTTAGCCTACCCAGCCACTCCTCAAGAGAGAGCCAGCAATCTGCTCTAGTCAACATTACCCACTATACCCTAGGGCCATGCAATCTGTTCCCACTCACAGCACAATCCCACAGGACAGAGAGGGCATGCGGTCGCTCTGCAGGAAAAGCAAAGGACTGGGAACCACAAGGTCCATGGTTCGAGCCCACCAACTGCTCTGTGTGAGAAAGATGGGGCTTTCTGTTCCTGCAAAAATGTACAGCCTCAGAAACCCTATACATGGTTGGTATGACTCGGAACTGACTCGATGGAACTTAACAACAACATATCTCAAAGGTGACTGGCTTCAGACAAACCCTACACACATGATGATCTCATGAGCATAAAGAAATCCCTTTTTCCACTGGGATTAAATCTACAGGTATGAGTTTAGGATTTATAACACATGTTTCGGAGGACACAACTAGTCCATTGTACAATAGCACTGGGTAACTGAGACACCAGCTGAGGGGAAGATCAGCCTCGTTCTGACGGGAGGAGTGGATCATCATGGTTTATACCGTCCCTCGCCCAACCCCAAATAAGTGTTGTAACTCTTAACCCCTATACCTACGGTTTCCAAGACTAAATCTTTACAGAAGCAGACTGCTTCATATTTCTCCCCAGGAGCATCTGGTGGGCTTGAACTTGGTTAGCAGCTGAGTGCTTAACCATCTGTACCTCCTAGGGACTCCCCTCAAAAGATAGGCTGGCGCTACCACTTAAGCTAATAGGAGGTCAGACTGGGGTAGGTGGGTCCTCATCCAAAGCGAGGGGTGTCCTTATAAAAGAGAAGAGACACACAGAGAGACAGAGAGAGGCAAAACAGCCCCACAGGAAGACCCATTGTTAAGGAAAGCAACGTTTGGGGCGACCAGAGCCAGGAGGAAGGACAGGGAAGGGTCCTCCCCTAAAGGCTTCAGATTAGACGCAGCCGTCTCCAGACCTGCAGAGCATCAACTTCCTGTTCCCACAAGCCACTATGTTGTACTGCTTTGTTCTAGTAACCTAGGGCACTAACAGTCTCTCCACTAATACAATCTAGCCATCTGCTGTTTGTGTTTTTGAAACCCCTCCTCCTTTTATTTGTCTTCCGTCTTTGAGTCAATTTCAACTCATGAGTGTCTGAGTAGAGCTGTGCCCTGTAGAGTTGTCAGTGGTTGACTACTGCCAGGCCCTTCTTCCAAGGCACCTCCGGGCAGCTCCAACCTGACAACCTTTGGAGCATGTGAACCATGTGCACCACCTAGGGACATCCCTGTAGCAGCTCTGGTGATGTTGTGGATTAAGCACTGGTTGAACAGAAAGGTTGGTGGTTCAAATCTACCAGCTGCACTCCAAAGGAGAAGGTAACACCATCTATTCCCATCAAGATTTAGTCTTGGCCATCACATGGGGTGGTTCTACTCTGTCCTACATAAGGTCCCTATGAATCAAAATCACTCAAAAGCAGTGAGGACGGCAGGAAGGACAGTTGCCCTTGAATGGGGAACCTGTCCCCAGGTCTCTGGCTCTTACCACATCCCTTGTGCAGGTCCATGCTAATGAACTCGAGGTGCCCCTCGTGTGGGCTTCTGCTGCCTTCGGCGTAGGTCACGTGCCGGCCATCTGGACAGTAGCGGAAGGTAAAGCCGTAGCCTACCAGGATCACCTGCAGATGTGGGAAGAAGCCAGGTGGTTAGGAGCTGGGGCTCAGGGGCCACGGATTTCCATTGTTGAAGCAACTCAGAGCAGACCCATCATAATTGATGGCGTCATTGACGAAGATAAAGCGAAGGCACGCTCTGAGCAAAGAGGCCGATCAGGAGAGACAGGTCTGAAGCGAAAAGTCCCCCAGATCATCCACCAACCCTACTGCTCCCCAAACTCACTGCCTAGAAGTAATCCACTAATGTGGTGTTGGGAGTCCTGGTGTATCCCAGCAGGTTAATGCGCTGGACTGCAAGGTCGCTTTGAACTGCAAGGTCAGCAGTTGAACCTTACCAGCTGCTCCTCAGAAACCCTATACAGGGTCCCTATGAGTTGGAAACAACTCGACAGCACTAAACAACAACAATGTGGTTGTTGGGAGCTGCCTTTGAGCAGAGTAGACCTGTCCCTTAGGGTTTTCAAGGTTGTGACCTTTTGGAAGTAGATTGCCAGGTCTTTCTTCTGATCCACCTCTGGGTGTCAGTAGCTGAGTGCTTACCTGTTTGCACCACCCAGGGGCTCCTTGAGCTCTACTCTTTAGTGGCTGTACAACCTTGGGCAAGTGAGGACATGTCTCTATGCCTCAGTTTCCCCATTATGTAAAATGAAGAGCCTGGGTGGTGCAGTGGGATAAGCACTGGACTATAAACCAAAAGGACCCTACTGTCCACCCTGAGATAGGAAGACGAGCCTGTCTGCTTCTGTAACAACTGACAGCCTTGGAAACCCTACAGGGCAGTTCTACTGTCTTGTGGGGTTGCTATGAGCTCAAAGTGACTCGTTGGCAGTGGGTGGTGGTGATGGTGACGATAGTAACAGTCCCCACCTCACTGGAGGTCCCAGTGAACTCAAAACAACAATTAAAGTGTTTATTGGGAAGACTCCTCTGGGAAAGATTTAAAAACCCCATAAAGGGTCGTTGTGAGTTGGAACAGACTCAACAGCACTTAACAATATATACCTTCTTCACTTAAGTGTCTGCATCCGGCTCCAGCACATGGCTAGGGGACAAGTGCTGATGCTCTGGGTGTGGGGCCTACATCCCCTCTTTCCTTGTTGTTAAGTGCCGTGGAGTCGGTTCCGACTCATAGCGACCCTGTACAGGGTTTCCGAGGCTGTAAATCTTTACAGGAGCAGAACGCCTTATCTTTCTCCCGCGGAACAGCTGGTAGTTTCGAACTGCTGACCTTGCGGTTCGCAGCCCGATTCGTAACCACTACGCTACCAGAGCTCCTAGTTAGGTGTTGTGGAGTCATTTACCCTTTATACAACAGAACAAAACACTGCCTGGTCCTGCG